TTTCCATCCATTGCTTCTCGTCCTGCCTTCAGGCGCTTTGGAAAATAGCTTGACTCCCTCTTCTTTGTGGCAGCCCCTGAGATATTGGAACACTGCTATCATGTCCCCCCTCGTCCTTCTCTTCATTAAACTGGACATTCCCAATTCCAGCAGCCGTTCCTTATATGCTTTTAGCCTCCAGTCCCCTAATCATCTTTGTAGCTCTTCTCTGTACTCTTTCTAGAGTCTCAGCATCTTTTTTACATCGTGGTGACCAAAACTGGATGCAGTATTCCAAGTGTGGCCTTACCAAGGCATTGTAAAGTGGTATTAACACTTCACGTGATCTTGATTCTATCCCTCTGTTAATGCAGCCTAGCACTGTGTTGGCCTTTTTGGCAGCTGCAGCACACTGAATAGTCCAGGACCACCTGTATCTCCACTGTTTTTTCCCCCAGCACACCAACCCTGTGAGGTAGGAAGGGTGGAGGGGGAGAAGGAGATTGGCTCAAAGTCGGTGTTTGCAACCTTTAGGGTGGATGTGAACCTTAAGCTGTTTCTAGTTTTGGCCCAACACTTTTCATTCCATTCGGTGCTGGACTTACACATCCCACGTTGTGACTTGCAGACAAATTCTCCCGCCCTTTTTCCTTGGAGAAGCCAAACACAGAATCCTACATTTTTTATTTTGTACAATCTACAATCTTTCATCGGCTTCTTGCAAGCCAAGGCAGGGAAATCTCAGCTGCAGGCTGCAGTGCAAGTCAGAGGGATTAGGTCTACGGTCTGCCAGGCAAAAATGTCTTGTAAAGGCTAGCTGGAACAGGATTTCAAGAAGGCAGAAATTCATCTGCAAATCCCTGACAGGGTTCGCCCGTGCACGATCCTCCCGATTCATCACTTGGAATGGACTTCTGCAACCTCATTCATTTCTGCCCTGCTTGCTTGCAGCACATCCTGCCCTCTGGTTAACTGGTTCTCCCACCTCCTATCAGACTTTCCCAGGGTGCGGTTCTCACACGCCCATCCAGCTGGAAAAAAACAGTGTTCAGCCTGGTCAGGGCCTGTGCGAGAAGCTGGGAAACGAAATGAAAAGCAAATCCAAACAGCAGCCTCTTTCATGCACTGGAATGAACATCACCTGCCTGCAGAGGACTTTTTGAAAATAACCTTCAGGTTTCTAGCCCTCAAGGAATCCTATCAGAAAAAAATTAAAAACCTAGTAGAAAGTTTCAAGATTTAGGAACAGGCTGGGCAAACCTGTCTTCCGACGATCGGGAACGAATGGAGAAAAAGCAAGAGTGTAATTGCACCCTACTATTTTTAATAACAATTCTAACAATGCTACAGCAATGCAACGGACTCAAGAGATTCCCTAAAGAAATACAGTACAGGTAGTCCTCTACTTATGACCACAATGGAGTCCAGAACTTCTGTTGCTAAGCAAGGCAGTTCTTAAATGAGCTATGCCCAATTTTATGAAATTTTTGCTGCATTCATGAAGTGAATCACCACAGCCATTAAGTGAAATGCAAAGTTGTTAATTGAAGCTGGCTTCCCCCATTGATTTTGTCAGAAGCTGGCTAGGAAAGCCACAAATGGCAATCACGTGACCTCAGGGCATTGCAACCGTTCTGCCAGTTGCCAAGCCTCTTAATTTTGATCATGTGACCGTGGGTACACTGCAATGGTCACAAGCGCAAGGACATTGTAAGTCCCTTTATTCAGTGCTGATGTCATTTCAAATGGTCACTAATTGAATGGCTGTAAGTCA